TAGCAAAATTGAAACAGTGTTTGCGGAGGGGGTTGGGTGGGAAACTGGCAAGGATAGTATTTGTGCAATATGGGACTCATGCAACCAAACGCGAAGTGGCCCCTGGGGTCTACTAAGTCAGCGAAATGTGTTTGAGATTGGCGAGAAGTTGGGCGAAACCAAAGCCCTCAACCCGCCCAACACCTCGACTAGCCAACCCTGCTCCCTCACCTCCCAACATGCAACTTTAGTAAAGTTGTACAATTTGGGCCGCGAGCTTTAAGCCAAGACCGACCAACCACTAGTCTGTTCAACTTTGTCAGGGAACATGTCAGCCTGAACTTGAAGAGATCACGGAAGCCGTTTCTTTCGAGCTTGTTCAAGGTGAGGAGGCATTCCCCCCCACTGATGTTGTCAGCTCCTTACCCACCTTACCTCCAAACCACTGGCTAGCATGCTGAGCCGTGATCGAGTCTCTGTAGTAGAGAAGAAATGATGACTTGCGAAAGATTCGTACTCCTATCGTATGAGCAACTTTCTTACTCCTATCATATGTCCGACCTTCTACATTTCCTGGTGGATTTCGGCTTGGACAACCAGATGTCGCTTCAAACATTTTCCTTAAGTCATGGAGCGTCTCTCACACATTAATCGACTTTCAGATGATCTCCTCACGAGGATTCTGTGGTTCCTGGATGGGATGCCTTCCCAGACTGATATTAATTCCTCAAGTGGCTCACTTCCTAAATGGCATTCTAGGGCGAATACATTCACTCCTCCAGCCTTTGCAGATGCAGCACACAATCTGCTCATCGCGTCAGTATGCTGCCGCTGGCGTCAACTCGTCAAACGTCAGGTCACGAGTCTCTCAGTCCAAGAAAACCGCTTCGTATCTCGTCAAGACTTGGCGAACGCATTGGCTTTGTTCGACAACCTCACCAATCTTCACCTGCGCGACGGGAGTGTCGAAATTGTTGACAACGAATTCCTCGCTCACCTTGCTTCCTCACGACCTAAGCTGAAAGCTCTTCACGTGGGTCGCAGGATCACACCGACGGGGTGTGGAGGGAGCAAGAATGGCCACCCAGTTACTGAAGCCGGTCTCGAGAATTTCTTCCTGAAGTGCAATCAGCTGGAGGAGATTTCCCTTCACTGCCTTCATAAAAACGCCGAGTTGCCGGATACTTTCTTTCAGCTGCAGCATCTCCACACGGTTTTCCTAACAAACATTTCAGCCGTCACACTCTCCCAATTTGCAAGACTTCCATCTCTGACTTCTCTCCATATTGCTATCCCGAGGTTGACACATAAACAGCTGTCAGCCTTCGCTCGCATTTCAAGTCTCTCTAAACTTTCTATTTCCAGTGAAATCCACCTGTACAAGAATGATTCACCAGCTGCAACTCTCAAAGCTGCTCAGCTGAAGACTCTCGAGTTCCAGCTGGCTAGTCCTAGTTTCACTTCATTGTTCCCTACAAGAAGGCCATGGATCCGTCTAGAGCAGCTCGTGATCACGAAATCCGCCAACATCCAGCGCCTTCCCGATGACTTTGGAGAGCTGTTGCCGTGCCTGCGTGAGCTGACTATTCGCGATTGCCACCAGCTCGACCAACTCCCGGACAGTATCACTTCCCTACGTGCATTGGAGTGTTTGACCATTACTGAGAGTAACCGGCTTTACAGCGTGCCGGATGTATTTGGACAGTTTGCTGCTCTCAAGTCACTCATGCTGGAGAGCATTCTGCTCTCGGAGCTACCTGACTCGCTCTGCCAAGCTACATCTCTGGAGCGGCTGTTCCTACATCACTGCACACTTAGGCTCCGTCAGATGCCAGAAGAGTTCAGCAGCCTCACATCTCTCAAGACATTGAGCCTTCGGGGGGTGGTGCTTCCTGAGAGGATGGAATGGCTCAGCAGCCTAGAGACTCTTCACGTGCGTGGATGCATTCTGGAGCAGCTCCCTGCTTCGTTCACGCAGCTGATTTCTCTCACAAGTCTTGAGCTCAGCCACTGTGAGATTGAAGAGCTGCCAGATGGTCTGGAAAAACTGAGGAACATGCAGCATCTAAACATTCATGGGTGTTCTGCACTCAGGAGGATTCCAGACTCTGTTTCAACGCTCCCTAGCCTTGTAACCTTGACCATTGAGTTTTGTCCAAGGGTATCTTTGCTGCCGAGAAGGCTAAGCAGCCTTGGAAAGCTTAAGCGGCTGAGGGTCGTGTTGTGTGAACGGCTGAGTCAGTTTCCTACGTCGCTGCCACTTTCCCTGGAGGTTCTGTCTTGGAAGAACAACGGTCAGGTCGATTCATTCCCTCAAAATCTCCCAACCAATTTGTCTGAGGAACTTGGAGCTGGGATTGGCAGATGGCGTGGAGAGGCTTTCCGTTCCCTGGAGCTCACTTGGCCATCTCCACGTCTTGAGTATCTTGAATGGTAAAAGGATTCAGACCCTTCCAGAAAACTTCGGCTCCGCAGTGCAGCAGCTGCGGGATTTGCGATTATGTAACTTTGAGGAACTTCGGGAGTTGCCAGAAACGGTTTCACAGCTCCAACACCTGACATTGTTGAAGGTCCTTGCACCCAAGCTTACCTCGATCCCCGATGGCATCGGTCGATTATCCAGGCTGCGTGAGCTGGATCTATCAGATTGTAACGCCCTACAGAAGTTACCATCTTCGCTCACACAGCTCCGCTGCCTCTGCGTGCTTAGACTTAACAAAACATCCATCATCTCCCTTCCAGGTTTGCACTGCTGACCAGGCTGAGGACACTGAATCTATTTGGCTGTGATTGATTGAAGGCGTTGCCAGAGGATTTGACGGAGCTGAAGGTGCTGCAAGAGTTGAATGTCAGATGGTGCAAGCAAGCGCTTGATGGCATGTCCCGTGCACTGCGCCGTGGCCTCCGGGACATGCATGGGCTGACCTTCGTTAGATCCTGACCTAGCAGCAACATAGTGCTTAGTAGTAGGTATATAAGTTTATTTGCTTCAAATGGCCATGCTTCATGTTGGATAACTCTCTGTCTATTGGCCACCCCGTCCATGCCTTTCGTTATCAGGGTAAAATACCCTTTTTGCACTGACTGGCGGCCGCTTTTTTCAGTTACCCTTTCACAGGCAGGGTAGTGGATTTTTTACCCTAGGCCAGAAAGTGTAAGTTTTTCAATACCCTTTGAAAAACAGCATAAGGAACACATTACTCTGACTGTACAGTGTACAATCCAAGCTATACTGGTACTAAGTGCTCCGTAGCGAGACGAAACACTATACAGGTCCCAACAAAACGATACCACTAGTGAGATTTGAACTTACGATTACAGATCTAATGCGCGATTGACCAGCTAAACTACTAGCCATTGATCTTGAGTGCTTCATGATTTTAACTAATCACAAGTTTTCAAGAATACCCTGCCCAAACAGACTAACTGTTTTTTACCCTGCATTTGTCAGGGAAACAAAAATTTTACCCTACACATCAGGGTTGACTACACCTAGAACCCTGATTACTAAGGGTGGCCCAAAACGAATCTGAAGCCCTGACCCCGTCTCTTAGCTGAACTCTCCCTCCCTTCACCCATTCCTGATATGCGTAGCTTTCTGAGTGGGCAACGACTTGACTTTTGTTACCGTAGAATGTTGTGAATCCAAAAGACATGAATACAGTAATTGAGATGTAGGAATCTGAGTGCAAATACTGCTAGAGCTGCCTGTTGGAAGATATGCAGGAGAATCTGAAGCTAAGCCACATTATTCGATATGTTACAACATATATATGTTGTATTCTCTGGACATCAAGATTCAGTGTAAAGTACCGTCTCCCCCCGGATATAAGCGCCACCCTAGGATAAGCGCCTGGCGCTTCTAATTGGCATATGGCGCTTATATCCCCTCCTCGATTATAAGCGCACCCCTTGAAAAAACTTGTTTTATTATAAGCGCACGTAAACTTTAAAATTTGAAATGTGTTCAAAAAGCTGTAACGATTTTTACTTTAGCAGGCGGATATGTTGCAGATTCGGTTCCCTTCACATTCGGACCCTGCACTGGATGCGGGTCCAGTCAGCAGGACCTGTCAGGAGCTGGATGTGAGTCAGATTGGGTGTATCTCCCAGCGCGCGCGAGAATTTCACAGACGATCCCATGTAACTTCGACTCGATTGAAAAGGCAAGCACGAGACCTACAGTTTGGTGTTAAAAGATATAAAAAAATATGTATGTCATTTTATAAACGCCGGCGCTTATAAATTTACTCGATTATAAGCCCACCCCCATGAAAAAACCTGTTTTATTATTGCCCCCCATGGGGGTATATCCGGGGGGAGACGGTAACCACCATAACACATGACACATGGCCTTGAAAATCAATGGTTGTGAACGGGAGGGCTGCCTTGGTACTGTAGCACAAACCATGCGCTTGAGCTTCACGGAAGGTAGGCGCTGAAGGTGCGAAGTGACTGTGGATGGCACGACTGCTTGAAAATGGCGAAACATACACTGTTCATGACAGCAGTCATGTGAGACTGCTCATGTGCTGATGGGCATGCATGCACGCATCGCCACGTGGCACAGATGGTCATGAGCACATCGCCACGTGGCGCTGACGATCATGCACACATTGCCATGTGCTGATGATAAGGAATGGATGGCCATGTAAGCAATGCCAGATGGTAATCATCGTGTCTGCATCGCCATCTGTTGAGAATCACATATGCATTACCATGTGCTGATGATCATGCATGGACGATACTGCGAGGCCCATCAGGCCGGGACAGCTGCTGGTGGAACGGCAGAGAGTGTTGTGCGTGGGAATGGGAAACAGGGGGTGGTGAGAGCGGGGTGAGGGAGTGAAAGGGGAAGGGAGAGGGGAAGGGAGAATGGACAAAGGGTGATTAAAGTGAGTTATTGATTTTTTGTGATCCTCCCCTCTGGGACGGGTGGATGCGACAGCTTGAAAACAGATATCATTGATTGCAGATAGATGTGTGGAACCAGCACACCTCTTTTTTTTTGTTAGGCATACCTGACTGCTTGGAGTGCCATAAGGAATGGGCGCCATCCCCCCTTCTCTGCTGCTCAATCCCCGTCCATGCCCGTAGCCATATGAAGAACCACCGCCACCACCAGCACCACCAGCAGAGGCGAGTGCAGGGCGGTAGGGCAACGAGGGGGCGGGAGAGGGGTAGCCAGGAGAAGGTGGAAGGAGGCCGGAGGACGGGGGAAGACCGGTGGCGTCGAGAGCAGAGGAGGCGGGGCGAGAGGGGGCGTCTGGGTCTAATGGGAGCTCGTCTAGCGTCTGTTGGGGGGAAGGGGATGTGGGGAAGGGAAAGGGTGTGGAGAGGGAGAGAGGGAAAAAAGGGGGTTAGACAGGAGAAAGGAGTAGGGAAGGTCCAGAGGGGCGAGAGGGGGCGTCTGGGTCTATTGGGAGCTCGTCCAGCGTCTGTTGGGGGGAAGGGGAACGGGAAGGGGAAGGGTGTGGAGAGGGGGAGAGGGAGAAAAAGGGGGAGTTGGAGTGAAGTCGGATTATCTTCAAGAGAGATTACCCAAGCAGTCTGCCCGCAGCACTGCATGAACATATTTACACCGCTGCTGCTTCAAGCTTGCACCTTCATGCACTCACACTCTGCTTCAAATGCAAACACGTTACGTACCCATGCGGCCTGCTGCAGCACTGCATATATGTCTTTGCACCGCTGCCGCTTCGATGCAATGTCCTCCCTCTCCTGCAGCATCTCCTCGAACAGCGCCTCCCTGCAATTCACAGAGCCGGAATACAAAAGGGTTTGACATAGCACCGGGTGCAGCTCCCTTGCACCGAATTCGATCTGTTCAATCCCTTGTGCAATAAAATTCCACTCTTGCACCACATTGACCAATCAGCTTACCTGTACAGTTGTTGGATGAACACGCTGTGTAGCTCCCTCTTCACATGGTTAACCTGGAATATGGGGGGTAAAAACGGAAGATTCACACACGGCGATAAGGGAAGAAAGGGTCGAGTGAGCGAGAGGAGGCGAGTCACCCCTATCCAGCAGGGAACCAGCAGCAACCCCACCACACAATACAACTCACCAGGAAGTGCATAATCGCCTTGGGTACCGCATCCTGAATGTTCTTCCTCACAATGCCGTAGCATGACTTCAGGAGCAGCAGCAGCCAAGACACCCAGTCCAGTCCTCACGCCCTCACAATGACAAGCATGCAAGGACCACTCACCCACCCACCCACCCACCGCCAAACACACTCACCAGGAAGTGCATGATCGCCTTGGGTACCGCATCCTGAATGTTCTTCCTCACAATGTCATAGTATGACTTTAAGAGTAAGCGGGTTACCCCAATCTCCACGCCCTCCTCTGCTGATCGCTGCTCGCTCGCTCGCAAAATCGAGGGCGGCTGGAGGAACACAGTAGGGAGAGAAAGGGGAAGAGGCAGAAGAGGGGAGGTAGGGGACGGAAAGGAGAGAGGAAACAAAAGATGAAGAAAACACACACAAATCACTCAAATCTCCATGCCCTAATGCACACACGCTACCCGTTTTAACAATTTAGGGAGAACAAAAGGCATGAGGGAGGAGAGAGATAACGCTGGAAAGAACAGGAGGAGTGAAGGGTGGGGACGGGTACGAGAAAGAGAAACGAGGGTGGGAAAAGGGAGGCAATTGCAAGGGGATAGAGACCAGAAAGGGGTAGAGGTGATGGGGGGAAAAAGACTTGAAGCACTGAGGAGGAAGAAAGAAGAGGAGAGAAAACCATAATGGCACAACGCACAGGACCAAACACGAAAGATTTGCCGCAACACGCCCACCCTCGCCCATCCTCATGACATTTAGAGATTTCTGTTCCCATCCTCGCCCACCCCCCAGCCCAGAGGCACAGGGTAGGTCTTATAGGGGGCAGGGAGATGGCTAGCTGCGACTGCTGCTGCAGCCACTCCCACTCCAAGCAAGAGAAAACAGCAGATACAACAACACACAGGACCAAACACGAAAGAATTGCCGCAACACGCCCACCCTCGCCCATCCTCGTGACATTTAGAGATCTTTCTGTTCCCATCCTCGCCCACCCCCCAGCCCAGAGGCACAGGGTAGGTCTTATAGGGGGCAGGGAGATGGCTAGCTGCGACTGCTGCTGCAGCCACTCCCACTCCAAGCAAGAGAAAACAGCAGATACAACAACACACAGGACCAAACACGAGAGGGAGGCCACAACATGTTAGAAAATAAGGCTCTTTTCTGCTTCGCCCACACCCCAGAGGCACCGGGATAGGACCCTACACGGGGCAGGGAGACGGCTAGCTGTGACTGCTGCTGCAGCCACTCCCACTCGTCCATTGTTGCTGCTCGTGGCGATCGGGAGAGCCGTGGTGATGACACTGATGCTGACGCTGCATAGGGTAACCCCAAGTGGCTACTGTAGCTGTAGCTGTAGCTGTAATTGTGGTTGTAACCTTCCTGCTGCCAGATGCTCCTGCGTCTTGTCCCGCTGCTGCTCTGCCTCTGCTTCTGCCTGTCTCTCAGCCAACCCATGCTGTCTCTTTGTCTGCTCCCTACAACATCCCCATCTGCTACCCAAGGATTGGCCTGTGCCTCTTCTTGCTGCTGTTGCTGTTGGTGTTGAAATTGGTCTTCACTTCTATGACTAAACATGGGGTCTATACAGTGGGCAGACTCATTCAGCCTCCCAGAAGCAGTTGGTGTTACCTCCAACCTAGCGTCCTCAACAAACCTCCCCATTGGCTGCGCCTCACTCTCTTTCTCATCACCCCCACCAAGCTCCAGCCTCGCTCCTGCCTCTGCTGCAACACTATCGTCAACCACCATGTTCCTTTCGCCCCCCTCAGCCGCATTTCCACCTGCTTCCCTCCTCACATAGCCAATATCATCAGCACCACCGAAAGGGTCACTGCGAGCCGCGTCCCCACTCGTCTCCGTTCCTCTTTTCAACCCACTTTCTCGCTCCTGCTGCTGCTGCTGCTCCTGTTGCTCGTTCTGTGCTGCTGGGTCCAGCACCTGGAAAACAACATCACGGGCAGATGCGCCTGCTGACTCGTCTCCTCGCCCCTCCGGCTGCTCACGCTGCTGCTGCTGCTCCTGTTGACCATCCCCTCTCAACTGCGCATGCTGCTCCTGTTTCTGCTCCTGCTGCTGCTCCTGCGCCTGCTCCTGACCCCCTCTTCTCGACTGGGTGTGCATTTCCTGCTCCCCATCCCCCCTCCCTTCACTCATTCCTCCCCCAGACGGCAGAGCCTGCTGCACACCTCCCCGCAGCACAGCACCATCTGCACCCCTCTTAACCCCTCCAGACGCATCCCTATTCCCAACACGCATGCCCTCAGGCATGTCATTGTGAGGAATCGCCAAGGCATGCACCATGCCTCTCACATCAGGGTCCAAAGGGGTGTGTAAGTGCACCTCTCCCCCTGCTGCCATGGAATGCAGCACGAGTCTTGCCCCCATCAACGCCATCCCCACCCACCCCTGCCGCTGCCGCCGCCACCACCGTCGCTGCTGCCGCTGCTGCTGCTCCTTCACCTGCTGCTGCTGTATCACCACCCGCAGCGGTGGCTGCTGCTGCTCTGTTAACTCTATCTGCCCCTCCTGCTGCTGCTGCTGCCACTGTAAGGTGCTGGGTCCTCTCACAGAAACTACAGGCCCAGCTGTGGTCATCTGTTCTGCTTCAGCAGGGACAGCAGCTGCTGTAGTCAAGACACGTGTGGCTGAAGCTGCAGCATCCTTGCTTCTTCTTCCCAGAATGCCTCTGCTGCTGCGGACCCCACTCCTGCCCCTCCTCCCCTCCCGCACACCTCCGCTCTGCCCACAAACAGGCACAGAGCTACCTTTGAGGCTCAGAACTAGCTCCGTTGGCCTTGAAAACAAGACAAAACAAACCCTTACGATTTTTGAGGCGCCTAAAAAATCGTCTCAGAATCAGCTCCGCTGGCCTTGAAAACAAGACAAAACAAACCCTAACGGCTGTGAACGAGAGAACGAACATGGCCACCTGTAACCCAACCTTCCCCAACCCACTTCCACCGCTCCGCACCTGAGAGTGCCTCCCACCAACCAAGCAACCAAAAGAGAAGAACAGAAGCGGAAAGCGTACAAAGAGAGGGGCAGGGGCAAAACTGATAGAAGAACAAATGTATACCTCTCTGAGAAGGATTGTGGATGCAGGCTCGTTGGGAGCAGAACCACCAGGGGCAGACATGGGTTCAGGCGAAGCGAGTGGGAAGGGCGTGAGCGCTGTGGCAGACGAGACGTTTCCTCCTCGGTTCCTCTCCTGCCCGCCGAAGATGGACGAAATGCCCCACGAGGACCCTGAGATGCGAGGGGAGGGAGGGGAGGATGAAGCACGAGAGTGAGCTTGTTGGCCCCAGACAGTGCTGTGACGCCGAAGATGGACGAAATGCCCGACGAGGACCCTGTGATGCGAGGGAAAGGAGGGATGAAAGATGAAGAGAATCAAGGGGAAGCGAGGCAGGGGGGAAGGGAGGGCTGTGGCAGACAAGACGGATCCTCCTCGGTTCCTCTCCTGCCCGCCGAAGATGGACGAAATGCCCCACGAGGACCCTGTGAGCAGGTGGCAGGGAGAGGGCGCGAGAGGAAGATGATGAGAGGAGGCCCGTTGATTACCATTCACTGCTGCCAGACGCAAAGGGGCGAGGGGTGAGGTCTGTGACAGCGGGGTGGGGTCCTCTGTTGCTCTCCTGCCCTCCGAAGATGGATGAGACGCCCCACGAGGACCCTGCGAGCAGAAGGGAGGAAGGGAGGGAGAGACTGAGTCAGGAGGAGGGAGAGATTGAGTCAGGAGGAGGGAGTGAGCGGGAAGGGAGTGAGCGCTGTGGCACATGAGACTGCTGCTCGGTTCCTCTCCTGCCCTCCGAAGATGGATGAGACGCCCCACGAGGACCCTGTGAGCAGGTGGGAGGAAGGAGAGGGAGGGAGGAACAAGTAAGGTGGTGAGAGCAGCAAGGGGGGAAGAGAGTTGAGGGGGAAAGGAGCTAGGGCTGTGGCATTCCTGAGCAACACTCTCAAAAACTATAATAACCATAACAATTACAAGAACAATATCACTAGTGCCAGAGATCCTTACCTTGTTTGTCTGCCACTGTGCCATTTGCAGTGGCTGCCTGCTTGCCCCCCTGTTGCTGCTGCTGCTCTTGCCCTCCCTGACCCTGCCCCGCTCCCTCCTTCCTCATCAGCATCACCCTCTGCTTCGCTGCTGCTGCCACCGACGCCACTGCAGCAGTTGACGGGGACCCCCCTCCTGCTGCCGCTGCTGTGAGTGCACCACCAGCAGCGCCAACCCCTGCTGCTCCTTGCCCTCCTCCCTCACTGCCCTTCCCTTCCTGCAGGTGTGGGGGAGTGGAAAGGACAGGGAGCATGCAGCACACAATGAAACAGGAGAAATCAAACCGTGGGACTCAGAACGAAGCTGCTCTCCTGCTGCCACTGCTGCCACTGACGCCACTGCAGCAGTTGACGGGGACCCCCCTCCTGCTGCCACTGCTGTGAGTGCACCACCAGCAGCGCCAGCCCCTGCTGCTCCCTGCCCTCCTCCCTCACTGCCCTTCCCTTCCTGCAGGTGTGAGTGGTGTAGTGGCAGGAGGAAGGACGCAACACACAATGAAACAGGACAATCGTTTTTTCAGTGTGAATCGATACGAAGCTACCCTCCTGCTCCCGCTGCTGTCAGTGCAGCACCCGCCTCTGCTGCTCGTGCCCTCACTGTTCTTCCCTGCAGGTAGGGGAAGGGGCGTGGGAGGAAACGGCACACAACAAAACAGGACGATTCTAACCGTACGAATTTAAACGAAGCACCACAGCTGCATGTTCAAAACAAGGCGAGCAATCTGAACCTTTAACCTATTGCTGCCAGTGCTAAACCAAGGAACTACCTCCATGATCCATCGACCATACTTTCCAAATGCTCCAACATTTCAAGGGTATTTGTGTACTCACCCTCAATTGCTGCAGGATAATCTCAACGGCTCTGCTGCCCCCAATGAAGCTTGGATGCGACGTATTGATGTAATCCATCTGCTTACATAAGACGGAAGGAAGCAGGGGGGATATAAGGAAGGGAAGGAAGGGGGGAAGAACAGGTGGAAAGGTGGTGGAAAATAATCCCTACTGCTTGCCATGAAGCTAGGGTGGGATGTATTGATATCCATCTGGTCATACAAGACGGAAGGAGGCAGGGGGAACATAGCGGTGAAGAACAGGTGGAAAGACTGTGAAGATAAGCCATAGCAATGAAGCTTGGATGCCATGTATTCATGTATTGATGTATTGATGTATTGATGTATTTTTCTGCCTCCGTTTTCCTGTACGAAGAACGTCGTCCGTAAAATCCTGCTCGACCGACAGGGGGACCGCACTACTGCTGCCATCCGTGTGTGCGCTGCCAAGGCTCTCAAGAGCGTAGGTCCGTTTGGCGGAGTCGACATGGGGACGACCATGGAGTAGTTTCGAAAAATACTGACGAGGGTTCATGTCTCTCGTCAGTATTTTTCAAAACAGCTTCATGGTCGTCTCCACGTCGACTCCGCCGAACGGACCTACCCTCTTGTGAGCCTTGGCAGCGCAGTTTTGAGTCCATTCAAAACATATTTCCATGTCAATGAGGTGTCGAATCATGGTCTTTGCAGGAGTAAGCCCCTCCCTGAGAAGTTGAACGTTCATACCCACCCACCCCATACCCCCCCTTGCCCAAATCCCCATACCTCCATGTCAATGAGGTGCCGAATCATGGTCTCAGCAGGAGTGAGCCCCTCCCTGAGAAAGCTCCCCACCGTCTCCTCCACCTTGCGCCTCAATACAGGGAAGCGGGCCAGCTGGTACGACTCACAGCGATGAGCGATCTGTGAGTGAGGCACAGAGCAGGAGAGGGAGGGAGGGAGAAGAATGGAAACTGGCTTGAAGTGAGGGGTCCAGCAGACACACGCGCGCATGAGGTGAGCGAACGCACCTGAACGCACCTGAACGTATACACCTTGCTGCTCTGAAGGAGGGGGCGGAGGTGCCTCACCTTGACTAGCTCGTCGTAGACGAAGCGTGAGCATTGAAGCGAGGGGTCCAGCAGACGCTATTTCTGTAACTTTGTGATTACGGGTGGCTTTTGACTGGTCACCTCGTTATAAGAAAGTCTCACCTTGACTAGCTCGTCGTAGACGAAGCGCGCGCATTGAAGCGAGGGGTCCAGCAGACGCGATATCTGCCGCCTCACCAGCACCTCAAAGGGCACCTGCCGAGCCGAGGGGATGGGCGGAACGAGAAGCGTAAAGGAATTTGGGGAAGCAGTTACAGCGGATAAATAACCAAGGCATTACTTACTCACACCTGACACGCAAGAAGTGAGTGAAAGCATACAACAAATAGGTGAAGGCTAAACTTACGTCCGGTACGAAAAGCGCATTCTTCGTTCCCGTGGCGTTCTGAATGGCTGTGCGAATGTCCTCGTCTGAAAGGTCCTCACAGGGGTCCACCTCCTGAGAGGCACAATGGGAGGGGAGGGAGTGAAGGGACGGAGTGAAGGGAGGGAACTTCACATCCATGCACTGAACTCGCATGCACGCACACATGGAATATGGAAGACCCGATGTGATCATGTGACTCACATTGATGCCCTTGACAAAGATGTCTAGGACATCAAACGGGACTCAACTCAATGCGCCGAACTTACCTCACATCAATAAACCAAACTCACGTCGATGCATTTGACAAAGATGCTTTGGAAGATGTAGTGGATTCGAGCTCCTCCCGCCAGCTCTGCTGTGGACATGCCCTGGTTCTTGCCATCCACTATCGTCACGAAGGCTGCTCAGGGTAAGATACGCAGCAGGAAAAGAAAGAGATGCACATGAGTAACATGTAGTGGATTCGAGCTCCTCCCCGGTCCTGCCAGCTCGGCTGTGGACATGCCCTGGTTCTTGCCGTCCACTATTGTCACGAAGGCTGCTCACAGGATAAAAAATACAATGCAGGTAAATAGAGTGTGCACTAGGAAAATAAAACACGCTTACAGCACACCATCAAAAGTCAGTCAAACTAATCGCACACACACCCAACTCACGTTGAGAGCACTTGGGTTGGGTTGAGATGTTAAGCTAGAAAACATCTCCTGTAGATTCATTAATACTCACGCAGACTTACAGTGCACGCACTGAAAGCCCGGAAACTCTTATTGCAACATACAAATTTAAATGTAGCAGCGGGGGTTGGAAGAGCAACTCACATTGAGAGTACTTGGTGAGAATGTTCAGCAAAAGAACTCCCATGGTGGCCTGAGGGGAAGGGAGCACATACAGGCAGCAGGGAGGAGAATCACCCAAACGTGGCCCACAAAAACACCTTAGAGGAGCACAAAGTCCGGAGAAGGGGATCACCACAAACACAGAGTGCATGGGACGTTGACAGACAGTGGTGATGACGCCTCCTTCACGAAAACGTATCTTTTTTTCTTTTCCCTTGCTCTCCTTGACGTTTCTCCCTCACCTCCCTCCCATCTCCGCACCTCCTGATAGAAGTAGTGTTTTGAGACGTCTCAAAACACTAGTTTCATCACCTGATGCCTCCTTGACAGAAACGTGCTCTTCTTCACGTATCTCCCTCACCTCCCATGTCAGGACCTTCTGTCCACCTCACAGTCCCTGCCCCCTCATTTCACGCATCATCCCACCTCCCATCTCAACACCTCCTCTCCAGCTCACCATCCCTGTTTTCATCCATCAGCCGTCTCCCTATCCCCCCCTATCCCCTACGAGTTTCTTGTGCACAGGCAACCTTCGTATCAGCGTTTATGTGCATCTCCTACAAGATAACAATCACCCTTTCTGTGCACTTCCTCAAACCAAACAACATTCATCCGCTCTGCCGCCTCCCCGCACCCCATGAGCTCCTTGTGCACCGCCACCATCTGAACGCTGAACCTACCCATCTACCCTTTGCTGTGTACAACCCTCTCTTTGCAACACAACACTCACTCACCCGCTCTGCCGCCTCCCCGTACCCCACAAGCTCCTTGTGCACCGCCACCATCTGAGCGTTGATCCGCGCCTTGAGATCTGGCAGCAGCAGGCGAATGTGCTGCACTAGAATCTGAAACCAGGCAGTGAGGGGGGGGGAATGAAGAGGCAAAGACGTGAAAGGACATGTGAATCGAATGAACATTTGAGCGTTGATTCGCGCCTTAAGGTACGGCAGCAGCAGAAGAACGTGCTGCTGCACTAGAATCTGAAAGCACGCAGTGAGGGGGGTGGATGGAGGCGGAGACAGAAGCAGTTGAAGGGTGAAAGTTGATCCGTGCCTTGAGGCCCGGCAGGAGTAGGAGGATGTACTGCACGAGAATCTGAGAGGAGACAGCCACACAGAGGGGAGAGATGACGACATGTGAATGCTAATAAGCCTCGAAGAGGGTTCATCCGCGCCTTGAGGTCCGGCAGCAGCAGACGGATGTGCTGGACTAGAATCTAACGAAAGGGATTGAAAGACTAGTGGACACATAGCGTGGTACTGTCGGAAGCAAACGTGCCATCAGCTGGGCTCTCAACTAACTGGGTTGAGTTTCTTGACAGGCTGAAGAATCCCATTCCAATCCTCCAACTCATGGTAAAACAGAAGTACCCCATTATAACCCAATAATAACCCATTCTACCCACATCCCTTGCTACACTAATTTCAATTCCCTTCTGTAATGACTCCTGCAAGCCCCTACCAACTAGACTCTCTACTCACCGAGTTGAGCTTCTTAGCAAGCTGCGGAATCCCACACCGATCCGCCAAGCCATGGTAAACCTGTGGTGCCACGTGCAAACAGACATGCAAAGAGGCATACAGACGAGTCACGAGTGGGAGTACAGAACACCAGCAAGTCACAAGTGGGTCTCCCTCACAAACAAATGGAAAATGAAAACTTCGAAGTCACCAGTTCACGAATCACAAGCACAGCGCAGCTATGTATGGAAAACAATTTGCTCGCCTCAGCCTTAACAAAACAGCTTCTCGAACTCACCGGTCTGCTTCGGAAAAAGGCCTCTTCGTAGGTGAGAGCATCTTTGACACTCTTCTTCGCGTTAATGTCCTGACAGGGGGGAGAAGAGAAGAGGCATGACATGGGACAAGGGCAGAAAGGGTATGATGTGGGCGTTTCCTGGCTGCAGATGATGATGCCCTGCCCACATAGTCCGCGTGCAGGGGCATGACATTCCCTAGGAGCAGGTTGTGGTCATCCGTCAACACACACACACACACACCCCCAGTGCACGCACGTCAAAACTACTTACCCAGTGAAATAAACACATTCACAAGTGCAAGAACACACCTCCTGGCTGCGGTGCGGTTGGTGACGCTCACACAGCCCAGGCGCAGCGGAATGACATTCCCTAGCAGCAGGTTGCAGGCATCCCTCACCTCACCTCACGCACTCTCATCAAACAAGTCTCCGTTGGAATCAACGCACCTCCTGGCCTGGCTGTGGTTAATAACGCCCACATAGCCCAGGCGGAGTGGGATGACATTCTCTAGCGTTGAAGAAGGGTACATCCCAGTAAACACACACACCTCCCCGGCCCCCAACACTCACTACCTCCTCAGCCCCACCTTCAAATAAACCCACCTCCTGGCTGCGGATGATGACGCCCACATAGCCCAGGCGCACGGGGATGACATTCCCCAGAAGCAGATTGCATGCATCTGTTGACACACACTCACCTAATGTTCTCCACAACTACCCAGTGAGATGAAAGTGTTCACACGCGCACAAGCGCACCTCCTGGCTGCGGTTGATGACGCCCACGTAGCCCAGGCGCAGCGGAATGACATTCCCTAGCAGCAGGTTGCATGCATCTGTGCCACGGTCCATGATGTCGAGCTGGAGGGATGACAGAACGAAAAGAGGAGAGAGGATTAGGAGCAACAGCATGTCAACCTGCAGGATGAAGCAGGAAACGATCAACTAAGAATTAGGGGCGGAGGGTATGACAAGAGGCAGTTCATCGTCTGAATGAAAGGATATCCCTGCTTCCCTGGTATACAGTTGTTCGTTCAGCTGAAGTGGCAAACGGAAGGAGAAGTTATGACTCTTAGGGCGTATCCCTGGGTGGTGGCAGGGCCACTGTAGATGGCAGAGTTGGTGGCATGCGGGAAAACCGCATGCCACCAACATTTTTACCGAGGCGCGCGCGACTCGTATTTGGTGGCATTGAAGTGACATTTTTGGGGCATTGCCCAATCACGCACCTGTATTCGCGCGCCAAATTTCCTGACACCAACCTGGCGTTTTATGTGTTCGTGGCAGGCTGCCATCTACAGTGGCCCTGCCACCACCCAGGGATACGCCCTTACTCACTCTTCACGCATGAAAGGAATGAATGCAAAATAATGTGCAAGAGAAGCAAACAGCAAGAGCAGCAGCGTAATCTGCAAACTAGAAGAAACATCATACCTTGGTAATAACTCCGATCGTTCGATGCCCTGACAGGATAGCAACAAGAAGTGCGGGGGAACAGACACACATACAAAGCATAGGGAATCATGACGAGATCCAGAGAAGGAAATGGCTGACTGAATTAGGAGACAAAAACACAATGGCACTTCAAGAAACTGTCAAACTAAGTTCTGGAACACTTTAATACCCGAGACTTAACAGAATGGCATGCAAGCAACATAAAGTGACTACCTATTAGCATGTTTCATGTTATTTTTCCTGGGATTTTAGGCGAACCCAGAAGGAAATCATGCCTGCCTCCCTTCCCACATCAATCCGCTTGGGTAGTCCCCTTTCCCCCTGCCCCCTTTCAATGTCTGCCTTTCCGTGCGTCCACACAACACCAAAGTGTGGTGACAGTATTGCATATGAGAATTCTCAAAAAAGATCTTCCAGGGACGGACTCACTCTTCCACCAAAGATTCACAGGCAGTGCTGCCTATGCAGCGCACCATCCGGCACCCCCTCCCGGCGGCGCTTCAAGACAGCGTTGATGGGCATGACAGCAAGGATCATGGAGCGCACCCCCTCTCTGTCCTGCCCCACTGCCCAATTGAACCACCACCATTTTGACTCACCATCGGGGTCTGCCATTCGCGCCACTTGTGCGCGCCTGAATTCGCCGAGTCCGCATTTGCAGCAACGACTGCCAGAATGATGCATGTCTCCTGCTTGATGTACGCCAGGATCATGAAGCGCACCTGCTGTCTGTCCCACAGCCCAACCAAACCACTGGTTACACCAGTGGGTCACACTCACGGTCAGGGTCAGCCATGCGCGCCACTTGCAGCGCATCCGAGTTAGCCAAATCCGCATTGGCAGGCGTGACCGCCAGAATGATACACGTCTCGTGCTTGATGTAGGCCAGGATCATGGATTGCACATGCGCCTCTATATCTATCTACGTGACTACGTCCCCATGCTACCCCCCCCCCCCCCCCCAGCCAGATGAACACCAGGAACCAGACTCACCGTCAGGGTCAGCCATGCGTGCCACTTGCAGCGCGTCCGAGTTCGCCAGGTCCGCATTGGCAGGCGTGACCCCCAGAATGATACACGTCTCGTGCTTAATGTAGGCCAGGATCATGGAGCGCACGCGCGCCTCGATGTCGGAGGGCTGGTCGCCCAAGGGCACCTCCCCAGGATCATGGACCAACGCCCATGTCCCACAACCCAACCAACTGGTGAAAAGTGCACGAGCACCAGGAGTTGGACTCACCGTCCGGATCAGCCATGCGTGCCACTTGCAAGGCGTCCGAATTCGCCAGGTCCGCATTGGCAGGGGTAACAGCGAGGATGATGCAGGTCTCGTGCTTTATGTAGGCGAGGATCATGGATCGCACGCGCGCCTCGATGTCGGAGGGCTGGTCGCCGACGGGCACCTTGGTGATGCCGGGCAGGTCCACGAGGGTTATTGTGAGCACGTGCGGCGAGAAGATCTTGAGCCGAATCTGCTTCTCCGTTATGCCCTTGTTTATCCCCACCTCCCTCTCCGTCTCCAGCTGGAGGGGTGGGTTGGGGACAGGAGGGTTTGCAGGGGAGATTGAGACCGGAGGGAGGCGGGAGGAGGGAAAGAGGAGAAGCAGAAGTGATGATGAGCACGTGCGGCAAGAAGATCTTGGGCCGAATCTGCTTCTCCGTTATGCCCTTTCTTATCCCCACCTCCCTCTCCGTTTCCAACTGCAGGCGGGGTTGGAAAGATCGAGACAGGAGGGAAGGACGGGTGAAGAAAGACCACAAGAGGGAAGAAATCGAGTAGGAGAGCAGTAGAGTAAGATCAGGAGTGATGGTGAGCACGAAGGGCGAGCAGATCCCCATGACGCCCATGTTGCTGCGAGTGCGGGAACGAGCAGTAGACACGGAAAAGCAGAAGCAGGAACGGAAGAGTTGCAGTGCAAAAGCAGTGGTAGAACCTCGTGACGACTTCGCTTCTGAGTGGACGCAAGAACACAGGGATGAGTAGCTCCAGTGAATTACGCGACTGGCAAGGCTATGATTTTGAGTCAATTCAAAGAAGGGGAAATGCAATGCGCCAGCGGATGAGCCATAGAGGAAATTCTCGTCCCAGTCAGCACAAGCACACAAGGATTAGGAGCTCCAGTGACTCGTGGGTCTGTGTTTGAAGATCCTCAAAACCAGTGAATCCAGGGAACACACGTGGCAAGACTCTTCTTTTGGGTTGATCGTGAACTTGGCTTGGAGTTCCGAACAAGGGACGATTGGACAGAGGAAAGAAGGGGGACTCAGTAAGGGGGAATGAGAAAGAAGGGTTTAGACAGGAAGGGTTCAGAAAGGGAAATCCAAAAAGAGAGATTCACAAAGGGAAAATGAGAAAAAGAAAAGCAGGGGAATCAACAGTCCCGCATCTTGTTTCTACCCAACGCGTTAAAGACTTAGAAAAAAATATATCACCTGAATTTCGTCCCGGATCGCGGAGAAATCCGTGAATCTCTTCCCCGGCAGGTGCAAAAACTCCCCCCATTCCTCCGCCTTGCCGTCCGCGCGCTTCGGCACCTGCACCAGCTGGAGCACCAGCGGTCGGCGCGTAACCACGTCGGATCCACGTGGCAGGAAATCCTTCCCGACGAGCGACTCGAGCACGCTGGATTTCCCGCTGCTCTGACTTCCCACAACGGCTACTTGCGGCAAGTCGATCGCGCTGGATGATCCGAGCTGGGAGAAGATATCCTGCAGTTTATTAACTACTGGGATGACCGAGTCGCCCAGTAGCTCTATTGTGGAAGCTTCCTCCTCCTCCACGACCTCGGAACGCGTGTACGCCATGGCACAGGAGCGAGGGACGAGGGAAGCGCAGTCCGGATCAGGAGTCAGGATGGAGGAGAATACACGATGGACGGAATCCGGTAGGAAGACGGAATCGCGGCGGATTCGCTAGTTCGGAAGTTATTTTGGAAACGGGAGGAGGGAAGAGTTTCCTGAGAGGTCCCAGGCTTTGAACTGTACTGATCGACGGCTCAGATCCGTCGTCAGCGTAAATTGACCGTCTTGCTGGATTGCGTTTCGAATCTAGACAAACGCGGACCAAGACAGCGATCCTGACGATCGGTCGCCAGCCGAAAGATGCTGAACTCGACGATCGTGAAGAAATGAAAGGAATCAAGATCAAGTGTAACGTGTCAGGAAGAGGGAGGCTCCGAGATGAAGCCGAAAGAACGAGAGATCACGCGTGGGTAGCTGACCTGCGGCAATCCGTTAACAATCTACTGAGCTTTAGCGAGACACGTCAGGAAAGCGTCAAGAGAGCTGTCCTAGTAAATGCAGGGACTGGCACAGCAGGCGACCGATCAGCTGTCTTAGTATGCAGCACGACCAGCTATGACTCTTGGAAAAGCTCAGCTGCACAGACAGAGCCTAACGAGGTAGAGCTTAGGAGGCTGACAGACTCTGTTAGTTAGCTGCTTAGCAGATTCTGTCAGACTGAATCCACTAAGGTACCTTGGGACCTGTTCAAGGGGCAGACTCAATGTCCCAGGCGGATGACTGCTTGGCCCGGCTCGGCACCACATCGCCTGGTTCGGACATGCAATAGTGTAAGCTTTTTCGAGGCTTCCGAATTGCTTCGGGATGGTTCCGTGTGGCTGATCGTCTCCGAGCCTACAAGGGAAGCAGGTTTGTTGGAGCAGCAGCTTTGAAGCTGGCGAATTTTGTACCATGCACACGTTATCCATCTTGTTGTGGGCCTCGATTACTGTTCGCTGAGATACATGATCATTATTTCTTACGTACACAGAAGTGTTTTTTCAAGTTTAATAGCTTATCTTTATCCATAAAGGCTATGATTTCACTCCACTGTAACTCTGGCATAGGGTAAGATTCCAACGAGCCACATGCTTGTTGAAAACATTGTGGCGACACAATATGTCCAATTTACTGGTCACTTCAATGATTATGCAACACACATCGGTATCAAAACAACATCCATCCATAACGTAAATCTGAGCTGTCAGTATCATCAGGTTTCAAGTGTCATCGGTGCAAAAAGTTCTTCTTTTGTCGCTTCTCCTTAGGCTGTCACACACGCAGCCAGCCACGTGATCACAAGAACAAAGGTTTTTTTTAAGAAAACAAAGGGGAAAAAAATGTTACCACATGCACGGGGTCGTCAAGAGCCAAAACAAACATTGTAGAAAAAGCACATAACGCGGAAAGTTTGGAAGGCATTCAAATGTTGAGGTGCAGCTTACCCGGCTGCTCCGGTTTCGAGATTTAAGAGCCTCCGTGTCGATCCTCTCCTGCCACGAGCTCTTGCGCAATTTGATTGGCCGATTGCCCACATACTTCCCTGCGCACACCAGCAACACATGAAAGCAGAGAGAACAAAGGACATCGCACAGAACCAGGTACTTTAAGCACCCTAATTGACCATGTTGACTTCTGTTGACCATTGTTGACTTCCGTTGACCGTTGTTGACTCTTGCTGCATCTCCTTGAGTGCAGCACCACACAGTCCATCACTTAACCAAATCTTGACTACATGACCCACTGACTTACCAGCTCACCTTTCTTTCAATCTTGACCCAGCGTTGACTCACCATTGATTTGATTGTCTCACCATTGACTTCATTGACTCACCATTGACTGCCTTGACTCACCGCTCATCTCCTTAAGAGCAGCAGCATAGTCCATCACTTCACTCACCCCCTGTTGACTTTATTGACTATCCTGACTCACCGTTCATCTCCTTGACGGCAGCAACACAGTCCATCACTTGCAAAGACCCCCAACTGACCCTCAGTTCACTTACTCACCCTCCATTGACTCCGTTGACTTCATTGACTGGCTTGACTCACCGTTCATCTCCTTGAGAGCAGCAGCACAGTCCATCACTTCACCAAAGCTCACGAACCCATACCCCTTGGTCTTGCCTGTAGTCTTGTCCCTCACCACCTGGCGGAGGAATGAACAACCAGGCGGACAGAGAAAGGGTAGGATGAAGCATAAGGGTTGGATTAAAAGCTCACAAACCCATACCCCTTGGTCTTCCCCTGGTCTTGTCCCTCACCACCTGAACGGGCGGGGGGCGGGGGGAGAGGGTGGAGTGGGGCAGTTGAGTTAGAGCCAGAGTGAGGGCAAAACGGAAAGAGATTCTGGAATGCTTCAGCCAACAAACCATGCTCGCTCGCACCACTGAATGCCTGCCTAGCCTACTAGGCGCCTTTTGAGGCGCCTCAAAAGCCTGCCTAGCCTACTAGGCGCCTCAAAAGCCTGCCTAGCCTACTAGGCGCCTTTTGAGGCGCCTCAAAAGCCTGCCTAGCCTACTAGGCGCCTTTTGAGGCGCCTCAAAAGCCTGCCTAGCCTACTAGGCGCCTTTTGAGGCGCCTCAAAAGCCTGCCTAGCCTACTAGGCGACTTTTGAGGCGCCTCAAAAGCCTGCCTAGCCTACTAGGCGCCTTTTGAGGCGCCTCAAAAGCCTGCCTAGCCTACTAGGCGCCTTTTGAGGCGCCTCAAAAGCCTGCCTAGCCTACTAGGCGCCTTTTGAGGCGCCTCAAAAGCCTGCCTAGCCTACTAGGCGCCTTTTGAGGCGCTTCAAAAGGCGCCTCATCACTGAATTGCCACGTGTAGCGAGGTTGTTTTTGAGACGTCTTAAATACAACCTCGCTGCTACACGCACCACTGAATGCCTGCCTACCAGGCGGACCATGCCTCATCTCGAATTGGCCCATTAGGTCCATAGCTACAGCCTACCAATACCAGCCAGCTCACCTTTGCCTTGCTGAAAGACGCATACTTCTGAAACGCCTTGGTTGGACAGCACAGCATACCAGCACCACCGCACCCCTATCAGCTACCCCACCTTGCCTTGCCATGGCCCATAGGTACAGCATACCTTGGACTTGTTGAATGACGCGTACTTCTGAAACGCCTTGGACAAGACACCATGCCAGCACACCATGCCAGCACGCACCACCGCACTTTTGTTTTGCCACCGCACCCCTATCACCCCGTCCCTGCCACCTCACCTTAGCCTTGTTGAACGACGCGTACTTCTGAAACGCCTTGGCCAGCACAGCGTGCTAGCACCACTGCACTCCCTGCCACCGCATACCACCGCACTCCCACCACTGCACACCTTCCTGTACTAACTGCCTCACCTTGGCCTTGTTGAACGACGCGTACTTCTGAAACGCCTTGGACAAAACGTCATCGTTCACCTCGTTCCCCAGATCGCCACAGAACAGCCGGTGGTCGTCTGGGTGGGGATGGGGAGGTGTATGGGGTTTACGGGGGTAATGGGGTATGGGGGGGTTATAGGGGGAAGTATAGAGGGTGTGGAGAGTATGGGGTGTGCCTTGGCCCGCACGTCATCGTTCACCTCGTTGCCCAGATCACCACAGAATATCCGATGGTCGTCTGCATGGGGATGGGTATGTGTATGGGTGAGGGGTAGAGGGGTACGGGCGGAGTATGGGTTGTGCCTTGGCCAGCACATCGCCATTCACCTCGTTCCCCAGATCCCCGCAGAACAGCCGATGGTCGTCTGCATGAGGAAGGGAAGGTAAGGGCATGGGATATGACAGTATCGAAGGTATGGGTGGGCACAGTTGGGTTGGGGGTTGTGGGGTTATGCCTTGGCCAGCACGTCATCGTTCACCTCGTTGCCCAGGTCACCACAGAACAGCCGATGGTCGTCTGCATGGGGATGTGAGTATGTGGGCACATGGGAATGGTAAGGGGAACTGAAGGGTACTAAAGGGTATTGAGGGGTTGGGGGGGGGGGGTGTGGAGTGTGGTGTGATGGCTTAACCAGCACGTCGTCATTCACCTCGTTGCCCAGATCGCCACAGAATATCCGATGGCCGTCTGGGTGAGAATGGGAGTACATGTGTAATGAGTCGATTTTTTAGTCGACTAAAAAATGGTCGTCTGGGTGAAAATGGGAATACATGTGTATGAAGGGTATCGGGTACGGGAGCATTGGAGGCTGTGTCATGTCAGCACGTCATCATTCACCTCGTTGCCCAGATCCCGGCAGAACAGCTGATGGTCGTCTGTGTGGGGACGGGTGTGGGTATGTATGAGGGAATGGGGTATGGTGAAGGGGAGCATTGAGGGGTGTGCCTCAGGCAGCACATCCGATGGTCGTCTGTAGGGGGATGGGTACGGGTATGGAGGAGTGGGGTATGGATGGGTGAAAGAAGAAGTGGAGGGGAGGCACGTGAAAGAAGAAATGGAGGGGAGGCACGTGAAAGAAGAAATGGAGGGGAGGCACGTGAAAGAAGAAGTGCTTTGAGACGTCTCAAAACACTACTTCTTTTACGTGGCTATATCTCGTGGGGATCTGGGCGACGTGGCTTGGCCAGCACGTCGTCGGTTTTTTAGAATTCTCAAAAATCATCTCGTCGCCCAGATCCCCACAGAATATCCGACGGTCGTCTGCATGGGGATGGGCATGTGTATGGGGAACATTGGGTGTAGGGGAGCATTGAGGGATGTGTCGTGCCACCACTCCGCAGGGGTATTGGTGATGAGGGCATGTGGAGGATATGAAGACTGTGGGCATGGAAATCTAAGGCATGGGGGAATGATATGCGGATATGAGGAATGTGGGCAAGGGGATTAGAGGTATGGGGGGTACATGGTTTGGATTATGGGGGAAATGTGGGGTTGGGGGGGATCCGTCAAGCAGGGGTGGAAAAACTCACTCTCGGGCCATTCAGTTAGAGTTGGATCTTCCCATTTCTGCCCGGCTGCTGTTCTCGGCACCGGCCGCTTTTTCTTTTGCTGCCCGGCAGCCTGCCCGGCCATGCCCAGCGGCACGTTACTGGCCAGGGCAGCTTTAACACCCTCCAATGCTGCCGGGTTGATCATGGCTGCATCCCTTTGGAACAGCTGCTCCGCCTGATAGGGGTCAAGGGGGGGGGAGGGAGCAGGAAACAAGGGGCAGAGAGCAGATAATTGTGAGGGAAAAGCAGTGCAGGGGCAGGTGCAGGTGCAGGTGCAGGTGCAGGTTAACAAGGGACAGAAAAAAGCAGTGCAGGTGCTTTGACTCCTTCCAGTGCTGCCGGGTTGATCATGGCTGCATCCCTCTGAAACAGCTGCTCCGCCTGCACTTGAGACAAGGGGACGGGGGAAAAAGGAGGAGTTGAAAGAAGAAAAGGGTTAACAGAGTGGCTTAAGGAGCCGCCGGGTGGATCGTGGCTGCATCCCTTTGAAACAGCTGCTCCACCTGATTGGGGAAGGCGAGGAAAGGGACAGGTGGGGGGGGAGAGGGGGGGGGAAGAGATGGGGAGTGTGAGCGGGCGGACTGACCAACGCTTCATCCCTTTTGGCAGAGGTTTTTGCGTTGCGTATGTATCTAACACGGTAACAAGTGACTCGAGAAAAACAGTCAAAGCTCGACCACAACTCACCTGTGAGTTGATTGGCTTCCCTGACGCTCTTGCTGCATTGGGGTTGGCCTGACACAGGGGTGAAATGGGGGGGGGGGGGGGGGGGGGGGGGGGAGGGGAGGGGAGGAAGGGTGGTAAGGGGGGAAAACAGTCAAAACGACCTGTGAGTTGATTGGCTTCCCTGACGCTCTTGCTGCATTGGGGTTGGCCTGTCATGAGGGACACAAGGGGGACGAGGAGGGGGAGGAAAGAGGAAGGAGAGAGATGGAACCCGCGTGAGCATGGAAGAGGCAAACATAGGAGGGCGTGTCATTGGATGGGCTGTTTGGAAAGAGAGGGGAGGGGGGCAGGGAGAGGGGGGAGGGAGAGGGGGGAGGGAGAGGGGGGAGGGAGAGGGGGGAGGGAGGAGAAAGGGGGCATTTGAGACGTGTCGAGGGCTTATAAACAAACTCAGAGAGGGAAATGCCCTGGAAGTTACTGAGTCGTGTCAAAAGCAGTGAGGCGAGCCAAAGGCAGCCTCACTTGCAGGGAGAATGATTGAGGGTTTACCAGGAACTCAGAAAGCGTTGTCCCTTGCCCGTTGCTGCTCCCCACCCCATACTGCCCTCCCACCGCTCCATACCCCCCTCCACCGGCTCCAAACGCTGCTCCCCCTCCTCCATACCCCCCTGCAGCTGCCCCATACCCTCCCCCACCCATTCCCCCCATTCCCCCGCCCATGCCCCCGTATCCGCCCATTCCCGCGAACCCTGCCCCTGGGGGGAACCCAGCTCCCCCTCCGTATTGCGCCATGCCTGCAGCCCCGCCCGCGTGCGCAGAGCCGCCCCCGTATCCCCCTGAAGGCCCTGCTGCTGCTGCCGCTGCTGCTGCTGAAGCTGCTGGGGGTGGTGGTGATGGTGTTGGTGCTGCTGTTGAAGCGGAGGGGGCAGGAGGGGGCGGCGGGATTGGCGGAGTGGTTTTGCCTGCAGATACTGCTGTTTTTTCCGCCTGCTGCTCCCCCGCTTTTTCCCCCGACCCCTTTTCCGCCTCCCCTGCTTCCCCTTCCTTCCCCGCATCTCCCCCCTTGGTTACTTTCACGGGCGCAGCGGCGTATACTTTCCGCGTAGGGGCAGGCGCGGGGGCGGGCGCGGAAGGCGGGAGAGGCGGAAATTGAGCAGTTCCCCCCGCGCCGCTGCTGAAAGGCGGAACTGTGTGTGCGGGCGGGGGAAAGGGCGGAAATGACGGTCGCGCGGGTGCTTGGTACCGCGGAAACGGGGGGGTTGAGCCTGAGGCTGGCGGGGGAAGAGGGGGGGACGGCGGAACATGCGCAGCAGGGGGAGTGGCGGCGGGAGACTGTGACCAAGAACCGCCGGGGCGATAAGGCGGAGTTGGGGGGAACGCGGAAGGTGGAGGAGGAAGGGCGTGTGGCGGTAGCGGACGAGGCGCGGGGGAGTAGGCGGAAGGAGGCGGGGCAGGCAAATGGGATATGGAGGGCCGCGCGGGAGAAGCGCCTGGGGGGAACGACGGAGGGGGGCGAGGGGGAGGCGGAGCGGGGGAAACGGGAGGTGTGCCTTTAGCGGGGAGAGGCGGAGCGGGCGGAAGGGGCACTTGCGCAATGAGGTGCGCGGGAGGCGGAGCGGCCTTCGCGGAAGCGGATTCCGCACCGAGCGCGCGCATCTCCTCTTCGAAGCGATCCAACTCGCTTAGAAGATGCGCCATGGCTGCTAGAACCACCCAGTTGTGTAGTCTAGAGCCTGATTAGTACTGAACGACTTAACTTCAGTAAACTTCGTACTAAGCAGACACTTCGCTGCAATGATTGATGTCGAGGGTTTCAATCGCAAACAACCCTGTATTCGCGCTAGCACATAACACAAAGAATCTCGTCGCTGACTGGGAAAGGCTGGTAGAACCTAGAGTACTAAGCGGCTGTCGTGCTTGAGTCGTCGTGACAGAAAGCATGGGTGACCGTTCGAGAGAGATCATACTCGTTACTGTGCGCACCAGCGTCGCCAACGCTAACACATAAGCGCCGTACAATAAGTTTGGAGTAACAAGAATGAGAAGCGAAACCAGTAGAACTCAGCTAACATTAAGCCGAATCAGAATTCACTATTTTGCTAGTTTGATTTTTTTCGCATGCAACGTCGTGCACAAAGCACATGAAAATGTTTAAATGAATTCCTATTACGAGCATGCTCCGCCCTACACAATGATCATTGACGGATGAGGAAGGGCGGTCAAGATGAGTATTTATTTCTGCAGAGAGACCACCCTGGGGGCTGAGCTTGGGGGAACTGAGCTCCTGGTAGGGGTTGACCTGTGTTGCTGCCTGCTTTCAGCACCTCCCATGTGCCTGCTGCATATGCTGTGCACCTGCCTGCTGCAAGCATGTGTATCCACCTCTAAATTAGAAGATTGGGCGCCAGAGAGGGTTGATTCTTCACCTACTAGTAGGCTCTGATGGGGTTGAAACGGTATACAAAATAAAGCAGAGCGGCAGCAGCTGGGATCCCTGTGGTGGCAGTAGAGGTTGTGGTAGTGGAGAGGACTTTCGAGTCGACTGACTTTTTAAGTTATGAATTGCCTCAAAAGTCAGTGGGGCAGCAGCTGGGATCCTTGCGGTGGCAGTAGAGGTTGTGGCAGTGGAGAGGGGAGAGGGAGAGGGAGAGGGGAGTTGTGAACATGTATTTGGATCATGGAGAAGAGCATAATGAGGTGATGAGGCACGATGTGGCATGGTGAAGCATGATGAGGGATGATTAGGGATGATGAGGGATGATGAGGGATGATGAGGGATGTCGTGAAGTAGCTCCCCTCCTTCTGCTCTTCCGACTGTTCTTCTCTTCCTCTTTCTCAAATTCCCTGTTTCTTCTTGACAGGTATTTCCACCTCCTCTCTCACCCTCATCCTCTCATGCCTGTTTGCCTGTCCCGATGCCGCCTGTCTGCCTCTTCTTCCTCCTGGTGTATGTGATGATGCTACTCCTGCCTTCTCCTTGTTTCTCAGGCTGCACTGCAACAAGTCTAAATCCTCCCTCGCAAGGGCTCCGTCAGTTTGCTGTTAGCTTCTCCTAGCTGCTTGCCTCCTTGGTTGGGAAACGAATTGCAGTATTACGAGAAACAAACAAGCAAAAAGCACGGAGCAGGTATCCTCCCCTGCCTAAGTCCCAGCCATCCTTCTGCCTAGGTTGCTTGTCCCACAAGCTAACTCTAGTTGCCAAGTCGCATAGCAGCAGTGCTGCTCGCGATAGCTTCTAGGTGCTAGCTGGGTCCCAGTGGCCCACTAGGCATGCACCGACTTCCAGCTGGAATTGCATTCTCTGAATCGAATTCCCAGCCTGGAACCGAATTCTCAGCCTGGAATCGAATTCCCAGCCTGGAATCGAATTCCCAGCTTGGAATCGAACTCCACCCTGTCCCCACCAAATTCCTCGAGTTTCTCCACCCTGCTCGGCTCCATATATGTACAGTACATTCCAAGCACACAAACGAAAGTATGAGTACAAGAACCAAACAGCAATATAGTACAACCTCACCTTAAGCTGCTGTGCAATTCACACTTAGCCGCAGGATATGTGTTAATAGCGCGACAGCTGTCGTGAAGTAGCTCCCCTCCTTCTGCTCTTCCGACTGTTCTTCTCTTCCTCTTTCTCAAATTCCCTGTTTCTTCGTGACAGGTACTTCCACCTCCTCTCTCACCCTCATCCTCTCATGCCTGCTTGCCTGTCCCGGTGCCGCCTATCTGCCTCTTCTTCCTCCTGGTGTATGTGATGATGCTGCTCCTGCCTTCTCCTTGTTTCTCAGGCTGCACTGCCCCCTCCCGAGCCTGAGTTCCAGCACAGGCAACTCTGGCTTCGGGACCCTTAGCCTGACCCTTCCCTTTTCCAGCCGCGGCCACATTGGTAACGTGCTCCTTGATGCGCCTTCCTCGCTCGTCCTCTAGCACCAGCACCCCGGACTGCCTCATCTCCTTCACCTTCCAGCGTTCTGGTCCGACTGGCAGGTCTAGCGTATTTCGCTTGGGCTGCCTCAGGTACACTTCCTCCCCAGTCTCTACTCCCTTACGTCTGCATCCCTCCTCTCCTGCCTTCCTCTGTTGATAACGCCTAGCGTCCCTCAGCTGCGCCACGTGGAGGTTGTCCAGCGCTGCCGGCGTCAGTTCCTTCAGGTAGGCCGCCCTCTTCCTAGCCAGCTCAGCCCACAGGTGTGGCTCGTCTGCATCTACCGTCGCACTTAGCAACTTCGGTGCATCCACGGGTAGGATGGGGTGCCTCCCGTACAGCAGATGGTAGGGCGACATGTCCTTCAATGCCGCTTGCTTGGCAAAGCGATAACCTGCAAGGATCCAGTGTAGCTTCTGGTCCCATCCTCTCTTGTTCGTCTCCCCGTAGGCCCGCAACCCTCTCTTCAGCGTCTGAATCAGCCGCTCCTTTAACCCATCCGACTGCGGGTGATACCTTGATGTCACACGGTGAGTGATCTGCAGCTCCTGCAAAGTCTCTTCAAAGCAGCCCTTGAACTCGGTACCCTGGTCAGTTAACACCTCCCCGCACGCCCCAAACCTGGTGATCACTTGCTCCACGAACGCCTCTGCAATCAGCCCACTGTTCTTGCTCGGCAGTGCCCTGGCCTCTACCCACTTACTAGTGTGCTCTACCATCACGAGTATGTATTGCTTGCCTTTCTTGGATAGAGGTAATTCCCCAGCCAAATCTAGCGACCAGCCGTAGCCCAGTCCCCGAATCGGCAATGACTGCAGCTCTTCCCTTGCCTTCTCCAGTGCTGCTTTGTTACGACTGCAGGCTGCACACTCATCTACCAGCTCCTTGACGTCCCTCCTTATCCCTGCCCACCAGTACATCGTGCTCAGCAGTTGATTGGTGTGTGCCGTTCCCTAATGCCCCAGCTTCCCATGCACCGGTCGCATGATCCTTTCCCTGTCCTTCTTTTGTGGCACTATCTTCCATCCCTCACTGGTGCGAAGCTGCAGCTGCTCTTGGTACCAACGGTAGTGCTGCCCCCTGGCCCTTGCCCTTTCACTGGCCTCCTCGCCCTCCGTGCTCCCTCCCTTAATCCACTCCAGAGTCTCGGTATCCTCCCAGACATCTAGCTGCATCTTCTCCACTTTCTCTTGCCCCCAGCCAGCTGCCGGCACCTGTGCTACGGCTACCAGCTGCGCCAGGGGCTGCACAGGTGGAGGGTTCCTAGACAGACCGTCAGCATGCTGGAGGGTCTTGCCCGGGCGGTGGCGAATTTCAAAGTCGTATCCCAGCAGCTTGATCGCCCAGCAGGCATTCCGTCCCGTCAGTTCCTGGTTTGTCATCAGCCACATCAAGGGCTGATGGTCGGTTACCAGCACGAACCTACGCCCCTGCAGGTAGACCCTGAAATGGTTGATGCCCCATACAGCTGCCAACCCCTCGCCTTCATACCAGCAGTAATTTGCCTCGGTGGGGCTGCAGCTGCGGCTAGCAAATGCTACCACTCGCTCCTCTCGCTCAATCTCCTGGCACAGGACTGCCCCCATCCCCATGCAGCTCCAGTCAGTGTAAAGCATGAAGGGAGCATCTGCCCTGGGTATCTGTAGCAGTGTGCCTGTCCGTACTGCCTCTAATAGATCCTGTCTAGCCGCCTCTTCCTCCTGTCCCGACTCCCATCGCTTTCCTTCCCTGAGCAGTTGATTCAGGAGGTTCGCTCGCCGGCTAAAGTTCGGCACGAACTTCCTGTAGTAGTTCAGGAAGCCGAGCAATGCTCTCAGCCCTGACTTGTCCTTCGGCGGCACCAGCTTGTCCAGCACCTTAACCTTCGCCT